TATAGTTTATCAACTATAAACTGTTGAATTAACTTTTATGCACGCATTGTAACAGGCACTGAAATCAATGCAGGGTTTTACAACATCCCATAATACCTTGCAGCTCATCATTCTGGTGAGAGATAAGTCTCAAAATCAACAGCTTCATGAAAACGGTATATGTAGATGATAAAGGTTTCAAAGCTAGAACTTTTAAAAGATCAACACTTAAATGATCCAAAGCTTCTTTACACACCGTAGGGGTTTCTGCACCTGCAAGGCATGTAGGGATGGTGTGAAACCATTTATGCTAGGATAATGTCTCTAAACCCTACCTGGAACATTAAAAAAAATCACTACAGCATAACTAAAAATAAGCCACTAACACAGACTAAAAACATGATGATGCAATTTGCAGTTCTCACACACACAGACATAATGATTGGACAAACAGGAAGGCAAGAAATGAATTAATGCTTTTTCCTCACTCTTATATGAGGATTAAAGACCAAAAATGACTATTACCTATACAACAAATGCTGATGGAAAAAAAATTGCCTCCATTTCTGGAACATTATTAAGCTTAATAAATATTAACTAAACAGTTCTAGATGTCTGCATGGGACCTGCAAAGTTCATAGTATCATTAATCATTCATCCACTTAAAATTCCTAAATTTAGTCCTGTGCTTTAACAAATCTAAGCTGGTGCAGACTTTTGAAATGCAGACCTCTAGTTCACAGGTTGGTTGTGTTTGTACAAATGCAGCAGCGATATGCAGATATGGTCCTGGTTACGGTGCACTGGCGATGAGGCAATGATAAAAATGGTCATAGAGTTGTGTGTGTGGTCAAGGCAAGGGCCACATGCACATAACAATGAAGCAAACTCACAAACAGAACATGGAACGTTGAGTACAAACACACACACAGCATCCTTTCTGTACAAAGTGTGCTAAAACCACAGAAGTGAACAAACACGCACACACACACACACACTTGCTCGCTCTGCTGGGTTAAAGAGAGAAATGAAGGCTAACTTACTTCTGTTTGTCACGGGCTTCACGTGCTTTGCTGCTGCGGTTCTGCCGGTTCGTGGCGGGGATGGAGTGAACAGATGAGCTCTTCTTGCTGGATGAATGAGAGGAATGGGAGGAGTGGGACAGGCTCGCTCGGGACTGGCCCGCGTTGTGGTCAAACTGCATCAGACAGAAGATCAGGTCCGTGGGCACCAGCTCAAACTCATAAGGCGGGTTTGTGATGACATATCTGCACACATGGAAAAATTATGTTCAAGGATCTCATTTAAGAGGAAATAAAGCATTTAACTTTGTTTTTAATATGTCATTTTGCACAGGTTTTAGCATAAAGTGTAAAATTTCTGCACCACTTATAGTTCAACCACACAAGCTTGGATGGGAGAAAGATCATGACTGATCTGAAAGTTTCCAGTAACTCCTAACACTGTTAATGATCATTCAAATGTGCCACACAATCCTGATCCTCTCATGAAGCACACAAGGGACTCTTACAGTTGATTCTAATAGTCAAATGTTAGCATGTGGATAAGCTTACAACTGAATTCTAATAAGCACAAAATACACTAAGTGCATTAAATGATAATGAAAAAGTTAGAGATCTCTACTGATTAAATCATATTTAAAAATGTTTCCCCTCATTCTGACCAACATTCTGGATAAAAATATTCACTGAGCTTGCAAAATGATTTATGGGATAGTTTTATCCATGAAGGACACGTGGTAGTGTCTTAGGTTTTGGATAAAATGAGGCACACTACAGTACACTTTTTTAATGCTTTTAAAAGAAGTCTCTTCATGAAGGCTGCATTTATTTGATTAAAAAAAACAGTCTTTACTATCACTGAATAATAATTTCAAAGCAAGCATAAATTTGTGGACATTTTTATCAGGTGTGCTTCTAGAGTGTGTTGCCTAGGTAGGGACCTCACACCTCACTAGGTTTATAATAATGTGGGTTTTATTGTTATTTCCCAGTAGTGAAGCTGGATTATAGGCCTAGTGAAATAAAGAGCTAAAACCCTACTGATAAAGAGGTGAATAGGTAAAATGGACAGCTCACCTTTTTGTGCACTGGCTAGTTGCACATAAATGTGCATCTCGCAATCTATAGATTCCAAAGCACAGCATGTTGTACGTTTTTAATGCTTTACAAAATAAGTCTCCGTAGCAACCACCATCCTGAAAAAGAACACACAATAGTGCTTTAATTGTTCATTCATAACTTTCAAATGCTTATTTCAGGCATGACAGAGCCAACTTGAGTGCAAGAGCAGGTGTTGTTTGCCTCATTCATTGCATCTGTATCCTAGTGTGATCTCTACACTTCTATAATGAAGTATGTGGCATTACTTTATTGTGTACTATCCAGCACTGTTAATCACATTCAGGTCTATGTGATAAATAAGTTAAGTCAAAAGTAATCAAAAAGTAGTCAGACTACATTACCTAACGTGTGTAATCCAGATGATGTTACTAACTACAATTTATTTCCTGTAATTTGTAATCGGTAACGTAATCTACTCAGCACTGGATACAGAAATACCATGAAAGATTTAAGGCAGCGTTATTTTTTTACCCACAGACTTTGCGTGTTCAGCTCGTTCACTTTGCATTAGCAGGCAGGGGAAGCATCGGACAGGGAACGAGCCCTGTTGGGGAAAGTGCCAAAACGTGTCAGCTCCTCTTAACCATCCACTTACCCCCAAGTCTGCGAAGGGCCCATCGTAGAGGGCCAGCTGGGCGACCCGACACCTGTCCCTGTTAGCCAGCGTCTGCGGCGTGCTGTAGCCACCTCTCAGTGCATTCTCCTCAGCCAGCAGGCCCTCCAGCTCCGGAGTGGCGCCTCCTGTGACCAGTGTCCGGATCAGGGTGAGGATATTATCATTGAAGTATGTCTGCCAAGATAAAGGAGAGGATCCGGCCGTGAGCGCTATTAGAGTCACAACTCAAGACAGTCAGGATTTTGGAGCTGTCCCAAGCACTGTTATCTAGACCCTGATCTGTCTCTTCTCATTTCACTCCCTGGGAAGGGAAGAGACACGGGAATGCAATTACGCCAGCTGTTGTTGTTGTTGTCGTCGTCTCCTCCCCACGCACATTCATTTTGGTAACACCAGCCACGCTTAACAGGGGAGCGTTTTGCACACGAGGACATTTTAATTATCATTATTGTAGCTAATTGTAGATTACATACAATGAAGAATAGATCTCATAACACAACAAGTCGGGGACATTTATCTTGTACAGTGGGCTCCAAAAGCCTGAGACCAGTAGTGAAAGTTTTAGCATTTTTTAACAGTTTAGATGAATAGTTGAATCTCTTTGCTTTAATGATAATATGTTTAGGTAAAGCATGATGAGCCATGTTATCCTGCATTCATTAACATGGTTAGTGTCATAATTTAAATAGTGACCTACAAATATTTCTTATTCACTTCACCTCGTAACATTTATACACTACTATTTAAGGTCTGGGTCAGTAAGATTTTTTAATGTATACTAGTTTTCTATTTTAATATTTTTTGAAATGCAATTTATTCCTGTGATGACAAAGCTGTATTTTTAGCATCAAGTTTTCAGTGTCACGTGATCTTTCAGAAATCATTCTAATATGCTAATTTGCTGCTAAAGAAACATTCCTTATTATTATCAATGTTGAAAACATTTGTGCTGCTTAATATTTTTTTTTTGCCCCCAGGATTCTTTGATGAATAGAAAGAACAGCATTTATTTTTGAAATAGGAATCTTTTGTAACATTATAAATGTATTTACTGTCACATTTGATCAATTTAATGTCTACGCTGAATAAAAGTATTAATTTCTTTAAAAAAAAATGTTGCTGACCCCAAACTTTCTAACAGTAGTGTATTTTAAATCCTAAAAAGTATCTTAATTCCAAGTTTCAATCAGATTCTGCATCCTTGACTTTTAAAGTAGTTTCTGACTTGTGGACTTCACTGTATCTTGTCTATCAAATGTTCTTCAGTGTCACTGATGATAAAGTTGTCAAATGATTAACGTATAAAAATAAAAGATTCCACTAAGATCACAAGGTCGTTCGTGTGAGCACCAGAGGGCTGTGTCGCCGCAAGATCGTGCTAGAGTGACACCTCTCCGGGCCCCTGACAGCAGCATTCAGCCGAATGATGGATGAGAGCTGTCTATTAGCAGGCTTCACCTTTGTCCACAGTGAAATGCACTTGAAGGCTGCTTTGTTCTAGCTTCACTCAAAGTGAAAGGTACTGGAATTAAGCCATCATATGGATAAGGGGATAGCAGCGGTCGTATGTGGTGAGGGGGAAGAAAAGAAGAAGAGAGAACGGGGAAAAAGGGAAAAAAGGTATCTTTCCTAATCTACCCAAGATGACATTGTTAGGAGATTAGAGCTCTTGGACCCCATAGCAGCCCACCTTTGCGTGTCAAGGCATGCCATTAAAGAAAACTTGAGCACTTACCTTGTTAAAAGATCTAATAAGACTCTTGAAAGTTCATTTCATGACACATTATATGAGGAGTCTTGGCAACAACTTTCCTTTTGATGTCAGCGCCACTGACAGTGCTGTCTGATCAGTGTGGCATTTCATTTACCAACCTCTGCCTACTGGTAACGCCTGAGCCCTACATCTAAAGCACTGCACAGCCGGAGGATGTCTCTTTCCTATACATTATTTCAGAGGATTAGCAGTGAGACATGCCTTCATGTAATTCTATATGACATGCCATGATGGGAGAGAAATGACTCTGCACCTTTTGACAGGTTGCTTTGTTCACCAAATCACTGGCTGCTTTTGAATACGAACGGAAAGATCATCTGAAGCCTAGCAGATAATATGAAGGATCCTTCACACAATGAAAGGATCTGAATCGACTTATTCTGCGGGGATAATTTCTTTAACGGATTTGTGTATGCTAATCTGTTTAAAGGAATTCAAATCAGTAAATAGGTGTCAACGTGGCAGCTGTTTAGCCACTAACTCACCGCACTCATCAGGGAGTCCAACACGCTGATGGCGAACGCGGTACCGCAGGCAAACGGCTGGGTCAGATACAGCTCCGTATCTGGGTCGTCATCGTCGTCTTGGTCCAAAAACTGAACGTTGGAGTCATTCACTGCAGCACAGAGAGAGACGGTTTACAACCGGGCAAAACAACTGTGCAGAAGAGTCAATCAATGTCCTTCAAAAGGTGAAGTGGAGTGTCTCACCAACCAGCAATAAACGGGTTAATGAAGTCAAATAAACAATGAGAAAAAAAAAAAAAACTGCATGCACGTCAGTGGGCATGCATTCTGGAGATTAATACAGGTTGAAATAGTGATATCTGCACAATGCAGTACCCAAAAACGGTGGATCTATCTTGAATCTGAATAACTTGGAAGGGATAGTTTACATAACAATGACATTTCTGTTTCTGAGAGAAGTTGTGATGTCTGATGTGTAAATGGATTGTTCTTTGGAGCCAGATGTTTTCAATAAATAACACTAAACAAAAATGATCTGAACAGTTTGTTTATAAATCGGACTGATCCTGATTACTGACTCAATAATTCAGTCACAGCGGTAACAGTAACAGATCATTAAAGGGGAAGATCATCAGTAAATAAAGACTTACATTTTTCTTTGTTAGTTTCTCATACAGCTATTGTATGACTTCAAAAGATTTGGGATATATTAAACAAGTATTCTGACCTACTTTTATTAAGCATTTGGATCCTTTTTTAAACTTGAAAGCCTCAATCCCCATTCATCGTAATTGCATGGAGATATAATTCTTAGAAATGTCTCTTTTTGTGTTGTACCAAAGAAAGATAGTTCTACATATCTGGAACAACACAAAGATCTATGAATGACGACAGAATTTTTATTTTTGGGTGAACTATTACTTGAAGTGATTTACAATTGTCAAAAAAAGTCAAGTTACAGAGCACCCTTGTAAAAATTTAGGTCCACTTATATAAAAGAACCCGTTTTTAAACAGCAGCAGCAGTCAGACTGCTTTGAGGCTATTGTGTGAGCTAGACGGCTATGCAATTAGCCGCCAATGTATAGAGACAATGCCCTGAAATCCTGCTCGGTTTGAACAGCCTCACACAATCTTTGTTTCACCCCCTTTCAAAATCTATGCTTCAGAGATTAGGGCCAGCACCAAAATAAATAAATAAAAATAAACAGCTTAAAGCAAGGTTTGATCTGTTTTTTTGTTTTTTTTTCTCTAATTTGATTTCTTCCCAGACTTCCTGTGAGCTAAGGAAGAGAAATGTCAGTCTTTCAGACAGGCTGCTGATGAAAAGGAGCCCGGGCCAGAGAATTGAACTGCAGGAAGATGCTATGGAAACAGCCACAAGGACAGACTCGCATGATCAAAGGCCTAGTGATGCTCTGAGAAAGAAAGAAAAAAAATCCTTAAAAAAAGGCCAAAAACAAGACAGTCAATTTCAACCAGAACTAAGGATAAAAATGTGTTCAAAGTGATGCCATGGGAGCAGGCCTCAGCTGCAGCGAGAAAAATCAAGGCAAGCCGATGAAGGAGGCAGTGCATCAGAGTAGCGGAGGACAAAGGCGCAGCTTACCCAGTTCTGTTATCATTTGTATGTTGGTTCCACTGTTTTTTTCCTGACTGAATGAAACCAAAGGCAGTAGTTTGCCAGGCTTAGCTAATGATGATAAAACAGTGTTGAGGGGAGACAGTTATTGAAACAAGTTCAAAGCCAGAGAAAGAGAAAGCATAAACGAGAGTATCATGTCAAGAGTGGGATTAGAAATCTAAAGGTAGTGTGTGAGGATGAAGCGCTTCTGTGAGAACTCCATGGAACAGTTCGGCCGTGTTTGTTCATGATAACGGGGATGTCGTGCAGGCTTAGGTATCTACTGCACTGCAAATAGGAGAAAGATTACTATGAACCATTTAGAAGAGAATACGAATCGCTCTAAACATGTTTTTCAACATGTTTCTGGTGTAATCGCACATATTCCACTAAAACTGCAGGCCTGATTTACCAAGCGCTCCATTGACGGTCAATGATTCGCTCGTGTACAGAATCTGCTGATAAAGTTGTTTCAAAAATTTTGCATTTTACGCTACATTTAGGCTAAACATTTTTGAATCTGTGCAAAGAACTTCTAGTTGAGTTATTACAACAAAAACTTAGTATAGTTTGATCCACTGAACAGACTACAGTATGCTGTGTGACAAGAATATGAGAAAGAAATGGATGAAAAAAGAAAAGCAAAGACTTTTTTTTTTAAAAATGGCTGATGGCCCATGTATTTATATTAAAAATTTAATGTTGACAAAAATATATACATTTTACACAATTTTAATTAATAAATTAATAAAAAATATGAATATATACACTACAGTTCAAAAGTTTGGGATCAGTAAGATTTTTTTATGTTTTTGAATGCAGTCTCTTATGTTCACCAAGGCTGAATTCATCAAAACAACTGTTTTCTATTTTAATATATTTTAAAATGTAATTTTTTCTTATGATGCAAATCTGAATTTTCAGCAGCCATTACACGAGTATTCAGTGACACGTGATCCTTCAGAAAAATATTTTAATATAATATAATTTGGTGCTCAAGAAATATTTCTTATTATCATCAATGCTGAAAACAGTTTTGCATTTTTTTTTTTAAGTATCGATCGTTCCAAAAGAACAGAATTTATTTTAACTACAATTCCTATGTAACTATGTAAAATATTGTACAGTCACTTATAATAAATTCTAAATGCATACATTTCTTAAAAAAAAAAAACTGCCCCCACACTTCTGAATGGTAGTTTATATCAACAATAGAAATTAATTTCATTTTATGAGTGATTTATGTGTGCAATGTATTCCTTTACTTACTAAGGGCGGACATGTGATTTTTTTTTTTTTTTTTTTACTCAAAACATTTTTGATATAGTTTCCTGTCAGCAATGAATATTCACAGGAAAACAGAATTTAAGAAACAACCAATTCACATCACTATAAACAATGTAACTCGTGTTAACTACACTATTATCGTGTCTACAATTCTTGGGAGTATTATTAGCTTGAATATCCAGCTTTCACTTCTTGAATTACAGAAGGGCATTGCCAACAGGCTGAAAATATCCTCTCAACACAAAGTCAAAGTCTCGCTTTTAAATTAGTCAATGTCAAGTATTAGTCAATGTCTTTAATGACAGATGATATGGAGAGCTTTCATATAAGATTATACTGATTATTCTTGAATTGCTCTTTCTTCTTTTTTGAATATTTGTTTCACCTCTACCAATATGCCAGAAACCTTTAGTAAATCAGGCCCCATGTGTCCAAGATGTAGGACTTTGCAACCCCTCAGGGAGGAGGACTTCTGGATCTCGTGTTAAGAGGACAGAAGTACATACATGTATGTGTGCGTGTGAGGAGCGTGTTTTGCATGAAGTTAAGCGTTTGTGAGGCCCTTTATTTTTTGAAGCCTTTCTGGTGTAACTCGCTGTAATTGGGTCAGTGGAGAGTTGGAGCGACCGGTCTCTGGTGCTTTAGTGCCCTCTGAGATCTAAAACTTTCATGAGTCCCCCCCACCATGGGAATAGTGCCACCCTCATTGTTATTTATAAATGGATCCATTTTGCTACTACATGCTTTTTTTCACTCCCTATAAGTCTAGGTCTCTTCCAGTGCATTAAAGGCACAACTGATGAGGACGCGACATTGACCAAGTCGGTGAAATATTCAGGTGCGCCATTACACACATCACAGACACACACTTCATAAGGAACACATCAGCGTGGCTTGATACGGGAGTTTAGATTCTAATCACACTTGACTTTGACATGTAAGCAGTATGACTGCATTCGCATCTCACCGAGTTCAGTTATGATCGGGATGTTTGATCCCGTGGTGATGGATGCCTGCCGCACTAAGCCGTGCACTGGACTGTTATCTGCAGATGACCTATCCATCCCTGGAGGTGTGAAACCTGGAAGAGAAAGAGGAAAGAGACTGTCACATTACACTCTGCTTATGGTGCCAAAACAGATTCAAGGTTTGCAATGGTGACCAAACCAGTAGCTTAACAGTCAGGCCATGCAAATAAGATTTTCTTGGTATAATGCTAAAAGTAGTGAACATATAGTAGAGTTTGTGGTGGCAGGATACGAGCGGACTGTCACTCCAGTCCAAAACAGTGAAATACAGATCCTCCGCTTTTAAGGGTCAGCTCAGGCATATTTAGCATTTGCTGCCTTCCATCAACTAGCAGGTATAAATTTTATATGCTGTTCATTTTGTTACCATAAAAGTGGTGAAGTGGATCCTGAAAACCTTTTATGTGAAATGCCATGAAATACAAGCAGGAGTGACAAGAGTATGAATTCACATGACTTGACACTTTTGCATTTCCTCAAGCTGACAAGTAAACACTTTAAATCAGTAATGCTATATGCATAATGCATTGGCCCTGTTTTGACATCCATCGACTGGAGAAAAATGCAAGCGTATAGTTTTTACAGTGACAAACATAATGCGGGGAAAAGATTCAGGTCACAAAGTTTTCAAAGGACTGCAGGATTCTGAACAGGGGTTGTCCTTCTTCTCAATGGGGAAGTTCAATAGACTAGCTCTCTCTGTAGCTCTAAACAAAACAATATACAACAGAGAGAGACTAAGGCCCAATCCCAATTCTATTTTATACCCCTCCGCCTACCCCTTCCCCTTGTCCCTTGAAACAGAGTGTCTGGAGATCGCGCAACTCACACATCCAGGAGAAAAGAAACTTGTTAATGCTGTCCCACAAATTTTATTAATAACAGTTTAAATACTGAATCGCTACATTATATTTTCTAGCAATGAGAGGATATAATCGCTGTTTTTGAAGTAAACTCACTCTAAAAAGAGAAACGCGCATACCGGAGGGGTAGGGGAAAGGGGAAGGGCTAAGGGGTAGAATTGGGATTGGGCCTAAGACTTCATCTTAAATGTGCAGAGAATAATCCCGTCTCCTGTTGTGTGAATTGTGAAGACATCAGATATGCAGTGACAGTCAGAGTCGACCATCTGGCATACTGAAAAGCATTTTAGCATCAGCTGATAAATCAGAGCAATTGGATACCAATAAACAAGAGCAATGTTACTGTTGATTGTACTGTTTTTCTCTCTCTCTTTTTTTGGGGGGGGTATTGGTATTTTACACTGTAAAGCTTCTGAACAATTCAATGCAAGAATATTCTGAATATACATGAATATAAAATATACATGCAAGAATATTCTGATATTAATCAGAATTTGGTCATATTCTGTCATAACCAGATTAAGACAATATTCTGATCCCTATGAATAAACAGCTGGTTTGTGCCTGTATTAAGCAGAGTATTTTGAGTCATAATATTAGAATATTGACTGAAACTATTGTTAATTTCATTAACAAAATCATAATAAAATATGTATTTTATGATTACGACAAGACGAAGACAAAACAATAGTGAATAATTATACATCAACTAAATGACTAAATCAACATACAATATCATTGATGTGACTAAAACTCTAACTCTAAACTAAAAAATCTGCCATCAAACCTTCTCAGTGACTAACTGTAGATCTAAACTGAAATAATTCCAAACATAGATCTCGTCTATACTCTTTGCAATTGAGTTTGCTCGATAAATGCACTTAAGCAACTTCTGTACCACAATACAAAGTTTTTTTGTTGTTGTTTTAGTAAAAATACATTAAAGGGGTCATATGATGCGATTTCAAGTTTTCCTTTCTCTTTGGAGTGTTACAAGCTCTTGGTGCATAAAGAAGATCTGTAAAGTTGCAAAGACTAAAGTCTCAAATCCAAAGAGATATTCTTTATAAAAGTTAAGAGTCAACCACGCCTACCTAAAACGGCTCATTCTATCCTTTAATATAATATTAATATTAGCAATGTCACTGTTTCAGCTTTTGAGTTTTACATAGTGTACAGTAGAGTGTTTATATTTCTGATAATATAATAAATCAGAAAATTACATAATGTAAAATAAACCATGCACATGCTTAGATGAAAGTGCAATAATTCTGAAACAATTAATCAATAATAATCAACAGTCATGATAGGTAAACATGATTATAATTTTGAGCAAACTAACTGTGATTATCAGTTTAACAATAATGCAAAATGTGACTAAGATTTAATTGACTAAAACTACTGTAGACTAAAATTCAACAACAACAACTACAAGTTGACTGCATTTGATAAAAACTAAAAAGGACGTTTGACTAAGAACTAAGACTAAGAAAAAACACACACAGCTGCCAAAATTAACGTTAACTGAAACTGAATATTCATATTTGAGCATCTCCAAACAAAGATATTATGTTTGAGACTGTGATATTAAAGACAGTTGTCAATGAAGCAACAATATTGAAGACCATCTCCAGTACAGCATTTCCAGAATTGAAAAGCAGAAAAAGATTGTTTGTGTTTACAGTAGTTTAGACCGATTATTTTGATTACATTTTTACAGAAATATCCCATTTTAATTGAAACATGTTAAAACTGTCTACTATCTTTTAACGTTTGACATAAAAAATTATTAAATACAAATCTAATTTAAGGACGTTATTTCAAGCCTAACCACATTTCACTTGGTCATGTGCAACTGTGTGTTTATTGTTGCACATCGATCAAACAGACAGACATACAAACCTTAAAGTCATGCTCTAAATTCTGCCTTGTGTTGTAGTTTTCAATGGTAATGCATTATGTAGCTTGGACTTTGTGTACTTTATTCAAAAACCCCTAAAGCACTTCTAGTAGTGCCCTGTGTAGTACTTTCTCCTGGCAAAAGGCTAGCTGATTTATTCAATAACACCTTCTGCACAAGTTTAATAAGCCTCACTGAAACGACGAGGTGCTGAGGGCAAGAATATTTACAGAGATGATGTGGTATGATGCAATTTGTTACACCTCTATCTCATAAAGATTTCAATACAATCATTTTTTAAAATACATTTCTTATATGGATCCTTCTGCCTTAAAGAAAATTAAATTATGATGTGTAATCATGTAACATTAATAATAATAATAATAATAAAAAATAACTATGTCTGCCCAGTTGGAACTACAATATGGAAGAAAAATGAATCATTTGTTATTTCTATTGGTGCAAATGTTTACTTCGGAATACTCCGAGAACAAAAAAAACTGTTAATTGCGGGATAAAATATGTTCTAATATGCTCAGTGTTAATGAAATAAATCTTTATTACACACTATTGCTCTGCTGTTGATCATGCCAGATGTTGAGTTAAATTAACTGAGAGCGTAGTAATGACCAGGCCCGCATGGAATCAGTGCACAGATTTCCACAGAACTAGAAATGCCCATCAGTCACAAATTTCTACACATCCCCTGTTTCTCCTGCAATTTTATTTAATACTTTTGCTAATTTGATTATGTGTACAGTCACCAATAAGGATGCAGTACTCTCACTTAATACACTTTACAATGTTTAAATCCACAGAATTCCCCCAACTCAGCACAGATATTGCAAACAGATTCCTTCTGGTCCTGATAATAAACATATTCTTCAACAGTATGATTAAAAGCTATAATCATCCAGCACAGAGGGATGTGCTCTTCCCAACACTACTACACACTGTTCAGCGTGAGCCTTTGGGACAATTATGGACACATTTCATCTAAAAGCTGTCATTATGAAGCTTTAAATCCATCTTTCTGTGCAAAAAGTGGATACTCAATAATGGTTGCAATGTTAATTGTTGTGGGCCAGCTTGTGCGGTGTGTAATTTAGGTAATGAAGAGCAGCTGAGAAAGTGAAGCTGCTGATTTGTACAGTCTGTTTAATGATGATGAATCCTGATGGGCACAAGAGGGTTACATGTTTATCTGAATGCATAAACAATCTGTTCGAGTCAATTTGTCGGCAAACAAATCTGCCGCGGTCCAGCAATTGGAGGCAAATACACAATCTGCACAAAAACATTAGGGATGCTTTTTTTTCCAGAGCTTTGATTACAGGGGAAGGATATAATACACACTTGCTCAGAATTGCATGCGTATACTAATAATGAACATGCATATGCATGAAATGAAATGAAAAATGCAAAGACACTTATTTAATGTTTGCATAAAGTGTCTAGTTATTGTGTTTCTAGATGCACAAACATATGAAACATGAGTCATGCTTTTATTCCTTGTTTTATTAAACCATTTTGCCATATAATTGGACCTTGTTGTCTTTGAAAGCACACAGTAAATGATTGGTTTCACAGTCTAAAGCAGTCTAAAGTATTCTTGGCCACTCCTTACCTTGGGAATTAGCCTGCAAGACCCCAATGCTGTCATCAAACTGCATAGATTTGATGTTAAGAGTCGCCAAGATGCATTCCTTGTCCTGCAGTGAAGCATCATCGATATTGTTCTGATTGGCTGACAGGATAACGCACATGTCACAGAGGTTGATGTTGACGGCCCTTAAATCAGCTCGACTTAATGGCGTACCCTTCAGCGGAGAGAGAGGGGAAAGAGGAAGAAAGATGAAAACAAATTAAAGATGGCACAGGAGCTCAGGGAAATTAGTTAACAAGTATTTACTTTTCTAAAGGCAGTGACATTCAGCTGATCTAACTATGTGCTGAGGGAAGAAGAGATGTGGTCTAATCTAAAAGGCTAGCCTTTGCTGACGGCAGCTTCGTTTTTCATACACAGTCAAGCTAATGCTAACAAGCACTACAGCAAGAAGCAAAGCCTGAGATTCGAACGGCCAAGAGAAACCAGAACATCAACACTTGAGAACAAATTGTGGTGGCACTTTTCAAAGCAAAAAGCTGGTAATGTCTTACTCCTTGAGTCACATGAACTCATAACATTTACAGATGACCTCTTTTCTCCAAGTGTAAAAACTCTATGCTCATTTTCAATGCGTGTACTCACAGGTAAGATGGAGACTTTAGGGAAGTTGTGAAGGGTTTCCCACTCTCTTCTCAGATAATCTAATGAGCCCACAAACACGATGGGCTTTAGCTCGTGGTAATGGAAGTTGCTTGCTCTCAAAGGCATCACCAAGTTTCGAAGCCCCACTAAAGCTGACGTGACATCTCCAAATATACAGACTACTACATGTCCACTTAAAACCGTCATGGAGGCCTCGCTGCGTGTCTGTGATGAAAAAGCCAGAAACAAATACGACAGTTACAATCTCATCTGCAAGAATAGAATAAGAGCTCATCTACTGCCATCCATACAAAAACTACATGAGCTGCAGGAGTAGTTTTTATATTGTTTAAAATGAAAAGGAGCAGAAATTGTAAATGTTGTATTTAATTGATTGAAATGTAATCACATAATAGCAATTAAGTTTGAATAACACCATATGGAATTGTGAGGAAAAAGCACATTAAACAACAATAATAATTAAAGAGAGGAAACAATATCATTGTAGAAAATGGCAACAGCATTTATGCATGTTCAAGCACATTATCATCAAGTATCGTCAACAGTGTCTAAGTGAGCAATATACATCTGTTTAGGATACTCAAAATTCAATTCATTTAGTAAAAGCAAATATATACTTACCCCCAAAATACTGTCATTAAATAAATAAATAAATAAATGTAATATTCTTACACCTTGACCTTAAAATATTGACTTTCAGTTCATTGTGCTCAAGGCAAATAACACATAACATGAGCAAAAAGGTTAGTGATGTTTTTCATTACTTTGATCATAGGGAGAAAATACAATGTTCAAAATTGTATTCATATTCTAATAATAAACATACATATGCACAAAATGCAAATTCAGAAATTTCCCTTTAGTTTCATAAACACATTTAATGTTTGCATGTGTCTAAATGTGCAAACATGCAAGTTCATTTCACACGTGTGAAATAAATGTCACACTCCTCAAACATTTAAAACTTTACTTGGGGACTTTACTTTGAGGAGTTAGTGATGTCAGTAAAATTGTGATTCTCAAATTGTGAAACTAGACAAATTTACAATACTATTGTAAATTGTATAATTATTGTATAATTATCAATTTATTTATATATATATATATTATATTATATGCTTGCCTAGCTATTAAGATTTCATGATTGCAAGCTTTAATAATACTTGATTCAGTATTAAATTTTTATCATGATATTGATAATGCAATTCAATGCAAACAGTTTCTGTGTTTTTTGCATTGCGTTTAACTGGTAAGAAACAAAAAATTAGAAATTACATTGTAATCATTTATAAATGTTATTAGTGTGGTATGTATTTTTTAGTTGTTGCTCTGATTTATTTAGGGTGATGCATCATGGTGCTGTAAGAACAGTGAATGAATTTTACAGGATGTTAATAAAAAATATGGCATTTTGTCATTTACAGTTCTTAAGATTTGTCAATTTGCTAAATTCTGAAAAAAAAAAGAAAGATAGACACAACATTCTTGTGACTAGGTGGTGCTTGGAGGTTTATGTCTGATTAAAGATAGTAATTAACCTGAAAATTTTGTAAAGCACTTTAAAGACATAAAAATTGGCAATAACACTACAGTTATGAAGATACCTACCAGAATGACCTTCTCAATATCTTTGGACGGACACCAGTGAAACATTCCAGTAGAGTCGTATATTTTCACATTAGCATCCATGTTCTCAATCTGCTCATTTCCCGGAATGAGTAGAGGGTCGTGCCTGAAATAGAGCATAAGAAGGAGAAAACGTGTAAAAAGAAAACATGTACGCTTGCCCTTATTTGCAAATGCAAGTTAGTAAAAAAAAATATAAATAAATAAGTGACTTTTTAAAAAGGGAATTTATCTTCTGGGCTTAATTGTGACATTTGTCAAAGGACAAACTTTCAGCACATCTCACCAGACGTCTATTGACAATAAATAAGCAGTAAACAGGCCTGTGCTGACATGGCTTGTCATTGTCAGATTGAATTTGTACATTGGACTCCATCATAACGGCAGCTCTCTCCGAGCTGCCAAGAATGCGGAGTCATCAAAGCGTCCGCGCCGGTGACAGCACTGGAGTGGAAGAGATGGAGCCGGAGCACTTCAAACCTATGATCTCTTAAAATGTTTAATATAAACAGATACTCTTTTATCATTAATTAAAAAAACTCTAATTATTGCAAATGTGATGTCTAATTTTTTTTAAAACATTCTTTAAAAAAAAACAAAAAAACTAACATCATCTATCTGTGTAAACATTCAGTCATTTGTTGCACAATTTTATGCAGAATAAATATATTGTCTTAGAATTGTCCAATAATTGCAAATTAGTACAATAACAACTAGGGATGTGTGATGTATATTAAATATTTACAATATATTTGTAATGATTTAGCTGACAATATAAATTCATTAATATTGAAATGATTTTTTATTTTATTTTTTTTTTTTTTTTTTTTTTTTTAACAGGAGATTTAAACACAATTCTTCATCTGCTCTCCATTTCTGTCTAGGAGAAAAAAATTGAGTTACTACAGATATTTATGACAGACCAGTTTGGGATCCCTGTAAATGCTGAGAAAATGAACATTAAAGCACAAAAAATAGGCACGGTTTTATTTGCAAGAGGTGGAAGCACCACCAAAAATAATGATATAATAAAATAAAAAATTACATAAATACTGTACAACTACTGGTACAACATACAGTGAATTTCATATACTGATAACATATACTGGTATTAAAAAAAAAAAAAATTTTTTATCTTTTTTGGATGTTGAGCCAGTTCCTGAGCCATGTCCTGGGCCTATGTGTGTATTTTATTTTAAGGCATGTTATAATTTGTCTCCCTCAGTGTCATTGTCAGATTGAATTTGTACATTGGACTCCATCATAACGGCAGCTCTCTCCGAGCTGCCAAGAATGCGGAGTCATCAAAGCGTCCGCGCCGGTGACAGCACTGGAGTGGAAGAGATGGAGCCGGAGCACTTCAGTGACTGAGTGGCACCAGAATGGAACGCCAATTACCGGCTTTTACTCCGCATCACTCCTGACGTGATGCGTCCAACGGTAAAAGCTTTAACAGAGCCGCGTCCTGAGTCATGTGCTAGGCCTATGTGTGTATTTTATTTTAAGGCATGTTATAATTTGTCTCCCTCAGTGACTCTTGAATTGATACTCCACTATTTCTGATGACAGTTTTTAAGAGAAACCACAGAACTCTTGTAAATGCAAAAAACTGTCAACTAAACCCCACCGTACAGCATTTTACCGGGCCTGAGACAGGCCAAAAGGCTGCCTTTGAGGAAATGGCCTCAGGGCAGACAACAAAGCCCCATCTCTGAGACATGGCTGCAGGGGAACATGCTCTCTCTCTGAGCCTGCTCAACCCAGCTATTGCTGATAATATCATCCACAGATTAACAACAATTTACAAAGTATTTCAACAAACAAAAAACTTAACAGAGCTGCGCTTTAAATATTTTAGGAATTTGCCCAATCACATTTTGCTCCCCCAAACTGAAGGCCATTAATGTTTCAGCAACGTGTCACGTCCAAACAGGCTAACCTATATCAGCACGTCCTGCAGAAGCTGATCTGTGGGGCATGTTGACCGTGAAAGAAGTTCCAGCGCTCAAGGCACAGCTCGCATTCAACCCCCTTGAAAGCTTTCTAAACAGCTTGGTAGCAGAACTATACGACTGAAAACCTGAATTCACAAACTAAATGTGAGGCCATGTTCATGTTCAATTGGCATTTTGAGCTTGTTATTGTTGCATTCTCTGCCTCAAATACAGATTTCTTGGTAGTAATCAACATGGACACATCTGCACGTTTAATATACTCCATAAAGAAAACAAGAAATATATATATATACACATATATATATATATATATACACACATATATATATATATATATATATATATGACAAATAAAATGCATGTGATGTAATTTAACTGATATAACAAAACCGTGCCTGTTATGCCTTGTTCTGTAACACGCTGTAATTAATACAGCACTAAATGAGGTTTGTAAATTGCATTAGCCCCTTGATAATCACACTAATAATGAATGATGGGACCTCTGCTTCACCTTCTATATTTGCATAACGTCAGATAATATTCTGGAAAATTAATTTACACTTAAAATAACTGCACTGACATCTTAAATTTTGCCAAATTTCAAATTCAAATACTGCATATGCAAAGTTCAACAATGGATGTGTGGAAGTAAAAATGTGGAAATTCTGGTCATATTACAAACCTCATAATTACTGTTTTCCTCTTTTTCACTCTCACCTTCCTAAGCAGGTTAATTCAGTAACACGATCCTCTGACGCGCTGTTTCGACTGTGTTTAATTGCTAAAATCACATCAGAAATGTGTCGATTAGCATGCTTGCATGAGATGATATCAGGCTGTGTGCAGGTGCTAATAACAGTGAAAGCATTTAGTGCTTTTACACCCCGACTGAATATTTCATTATGTGGCGCGTGTTTCACCACTCACTCTGCGGACCTCTGTCATTTCAATCTCCCCTCAACATACTGACTGGCGCAGTGCACCTCTGCCAAGATAGCTATCTCTCACCCGCTGTCAGAGTCACCTGCCAGTCACAAGCACAATCCAACACTCCACACCACTCCAGAATAAAACATCTGACGTTACTCGCTGCTGCTAGGAGACCCGACAAATGCATTGTGACTTCCTACAATTAGATGTGTTGTCTCCTTTGAAGTGTTTAAGCGTGATATTGTTATTGCATAATATTTCAGATGTTCTAAATAAACTTTTTGGAAATATAAAATTCTGGAATTATTAAGATTATTATATTACTGAATTTTCAGCAGTCATTACTCCATTCTTCAGTGTCACATTATACTTCAGAAATCATTCTGAAATGCTCATTTAAAATATTATTGGTACATTTTATCAGTAATAGTTTTTGTTATTTTCAATGTTGAAAACTGTTTTTGCTGCTTAATATTTTTGTGGAAATCATGATAAATTTTTAGGATTCTTTGATGAATCGAAACAAAACCAAACAATTTATTTGAAATATAATTTTTGTAACATTACAAATGTCTTTACTGTCACTTTTTTGCTTCATTTTTCTTCATTTTACTTAACCCAAACATTTGAGTGGTTGTGCATCACTGTTTCAAAAAATATATACAGAAAGCAAAAACTGTTTTGAGCATTTATAATAAAAATAAATGTTTATTGAGCACCGAATCTGGATATTATAATGATTTCTGAAGGATCATGTGACACTAAAGACTGGAATAATGATGCTGAAAATTCAGCTTTGGCATCACAGAAATAAATTGCAATAGAATAGAAAAAAAATAGAAAACATCTGTTTTAATAATATTATTTGAATGTTATTCTGTAATAGTATTTCACAGTATTACTGTATTTTTGCCAAATAATTTAATAAATGTAGCCTTGGTGACTTGTTTCAAAAACAAGAATTAAGAATTGAAAAAAAGAAAGAAAGAAACGTTTTGAATGTTAGTGCATCTTCCACTTGATTTCATTTTTGCAAACAACTAAGCCAAAAACACTCTTTAAACAGACATATAATCTGAAAATAAAAGGCCTGGAGTACTTTATAGGAAACTAGCAGGTACCGTAAGCGAGACAGAAAGTTCTCCATTTAATTGGTATGTCCAGAGGAGCATCCTAGACGTGCATTTGGGGAAAGAGAGAGCGAGAGAGAACAGAAGTTGCCCTGAGAGCCGGGCTGTTTTCAAACAGCGTTCAGCTATTCCAGTGCATCACTCGGCAGTCACTGGCTCCCCGAATCCCTCTCCAGCAGCCTATGAAAGCAGCTCCTCGCTTTGAAAATTTTCCCTATCATGCCAACTGACAAAGGCATGCTTTTCAAAAACCCACAGCCAATCTGTTGATCATTATTTATTTACGGCGGCCTGGAGGCGCAGAAGCCTGTAAAAACCATACTTGATATGGTATACGCTGGCTGTTTTTCCCTTTCCTGCTTGTTGAATAAAGTATCCCTAAGGCTCCCTCAAACAATCGCTTTTCATTGTGCATAAAACACACCTAGTAAAGGCGAGGTATTTAATGTATGTTGTAATATATTGACAAGGAGGGCACAGGTTGAAGGGTCTGCCTTTGGTAATTTTGATGTTTCGCTGCAGGGCTTTGGCTTGAAAAAGCTTACACCTAGAACAGAGGACCTGTCATCCAGTACCCAAGAGCCAGCTGAACACACAGGCACCCTAAAGCACAGAAAACTTTGACACCGCTTTGAAGCGTTTCAAAACAGGGTAAATAACTCCCAAGAATTATTATCACTTGTAGATCAAAGAGTCGATGCATACATTACATGGCAAACGGGGACCTTCAAATCTGCTCAGAAAAACAGTTTTGTGCTGTAAGTTAAGGAATAAAAACCAAAGATCCTTCTAAGCAATCGCTGAAAGCTATTTTTTTTTCATTCCACTCGCAGTTTATTGTTTAAAACCGAGAGCGAAAAGAAACAATTGAACATTGATCATTTTCACTTGGAAAGCAGACTAAAGAGCGAGCTCCTCTGCAGGGCTGACAGTTTACAGTATGTAAAAATTTGACATAATTGCTTCTTTTGGGGGGGATTCATGTTGGAGACCTCTGTCTGGGGTAATTATTATAAGCTACAGATAAATGCATTGTGGGTGGTACAGAAATGAAAAAAAAAGTAATACAATATTATTTTAAATATAAAAATGAAAAGTAAAAAATAAAACAAAACAATCCCTCATTTTTTAATTTATAATACAATATGTAAAAATAAACTAAAACTGCTGTCTCATGTAACAATTTTTAATTAAAGGTTACATTTTACAACTATTACTACAATATTTAATATATATATATACATATATATATATATATATATATATATTACATTGAAGAAATAAAACTACTACGTTTTATGTAAAAGTTTACAATTATTGCAGTAAAAATAAGCCTGCAACATAAAACTGGGATTATATACTAACTGAGAAAATGTGACTGGCTCTGCACTAAATTGCAACACAAACATACATACAGTCAAACATGTTGGCTATCACTTTGCAGAAAGTTGTCCTTTCCTCTAAACCTTCAGCAACACTTTCTCGCTCCACGGCGTGTCTCTGCGTTTTTTACAATCTCTGCATAAACATCTCCTGGCCACATGGGCGGAAAGCAAGTCCTTTTATCAGTCAAAATCAATTAGAGGCATTCTAATTCCAGCGGACAGGATAAAAGGAAGGTAATATTTGAATTCATTTTTGATTGCAATGATACATTTCACATATGGCTTTAAGTACGAAAAACACGCCTCACAGGGGTTCCCACAATAGATGAAGAGCCCCGAGGCTAAGTAACCATGCTGGCGTCTCTGATTGGTCGGCACCGTCATTAGTGCCACCGCTGTTTAAGAACTACATGTGGACGGGACTGGGGGTAGATGACAGCTGAGACTTTAAAGCAAGAGTATTTTTCAAACAGCTTTTCATAGCTGCTTTCATGACAGAAATATTTCAGCTCTATCATTAACCGCTGACAGGCTGACAGCTCAAACGCCTCGGCCCGAAAGGCCTGCTCTCCCCTCCCTCTCTCTCTCTCCCTCCACACTTTCTTTCTCCTTCTCCACTTTTCCTACTCCCACCATCCCAGCACCATCCGTCCTGTCTTTCCTTTTGAAGGCTGGAGGGAGCGTCTTGAAATCAATGTCTTACCTCATCATTTTGGGTGAGCAGTTGGGTGAATTTCGCATGCCTCCGTTGCGTTGCTTCTTTTTGGGCGACAGTGTTGACGGATGCTCATCTTCGACTGCAAACACATGCAAAGAGTGTCAGACTGTGGACAGCTGGGATTGTCAAGTGTGCTGGAGATGACATATTAAAGAACACAAAAGCCAACACTCAATCAATCATTGCAAAAAACACTCAAATCTGTGAAGACCTCCAAAAATAGAAAGAGAACAGTGTTAGTATGGACAAAAGTACACTTAAAGAAGGCAAGTACAGACCTGAAGGACAACCATTAAGTTTTACACCCTATTTTCCATGAATTTTCTTTTCAAAGAGTTGGTTTGAGCGATGTGCGTGTGTGGGGATTTATTTCAGTCCGTATCAAACTATCTTTTACCTCTCTGTCATTGTTTGGAGGGCATGAGCTCGAACAATGACAGAGGGGAAGAAAAAAAGAAAAAGAAGAGTAATTTGGTGTGTGGTTTTTAATGGATGACTACATGGCGAAATCAATCCTCATCACTCAGAGAGCTGTGAGTGATGGCTCCGCTGTGAGTCTGTCCCCCGTACCACAAGCACTCTCAGCACTGAACAAGCACCCTGAACTGAGCCTTCTCTTACTGAAACGCCTCTCAAGAAGGACGTTACTGAGGGGCCTGTGAATGTCACAAGCTCTCTGCTTTATAAACACATCATGTGCGAGTGTTAAAGCTGCCTGAAGGTTAAGCTTCGTTGGAGATGTTATGGATATAGAAAGGTGAAATATTCAAAAACTATAGCTTTACTTAAAGGAATAGTTCACCCTAAAAATCATTTATTCACTCATGTCATTCCAAACCTGTATGACTTATTCATTTAAGGAACACAACAGGAGAAATTTAGAAAAATGTACATGCTCCTTTTTTACACATATAGCATCAAATTCTAGCCTTTGCATCTAAAGTTGCCATATCTGCCAAACTGAACAACTTGAATTTGAGCTTTATTTTATTTATGGTGCTTTAACAGCTTTGGTCACCAGGCACGCCGCCAGAATTTTTTCTCTACCGGTGCTAAGGGGGGGCTAGACCAATATGTGGGGGTGCTAAGAAAATAAATGATATTGATGACATCAGAGTTACTTCATAAAGAAATTGTCGTTTTTTTAAATAAAAGCAGCTATGGTACACACCATATTCAACAGAAGTGTAGTTTTAAGTCACTGTATGGATCAGAAAAGCATGTAAATTTCCTCAAAATTTCTCCTCTCCTCCTATTTTTTTTTTGGTGAACTGTTCCTTTAAGTTGGGGAGAAAGTGTTCACTATGTTGTGATAAAAACTATTAAATATTTTCTGTCCTGGAATTTTATGTATAATTTCCATGTCTACCACAGTACATGTTTTTTTCATTTCATCAAATTACTTAATATTTGTTATGCTCAACTGCTATATTTATATTATGCATCTTTTTTATTTATATTTGATATGATACCAGATACTGGACCCAACACGGTCTGATTTATATTAGAGACAAACTAGTAACAGAAACCCAAACTCTAAAACACTGCAAGCTTGCTTTAGTGTGGCTCTGTTAGAAATTCATCAGCACAGCAAAATATTAGAGACAAATACTGCAGACGCATATACTTGTAGGTCTCTGATTTCCCTTTGTCATCTAATTGTTCAAATGAAAAAATACACAAAAAGATGCTGTCTGTGTCTTTACCAAATGCCAGTGCTTGACATTTGCAATTACACTGTGGAAGAAGCAATGTGAGACAGTAATCAACTTTAAAAATATCACTACTGATAAGATGGCGGTGCAGTGGCCCTTTGTTCCGTGTTATGGTTGTTGAGCGAGTGGCCTGGCTGGGCCGGACCGCTCTCTCCTGCCCTTGCTCCTCCAAATTAGGCAGCAGAGATTTACGAGCTACAGTGGTGCCCTTCAGTAAGAGGCTTAACAATGAAATAACTCCACCTGCAACACGGCCATTTCAGCAAGTCTCTGCTTGTTCCAAATTATATTACGGCACTTTTATAACCTCAATCAAAATAGGATCAGCCCACCAAAGTGTGATTACTGTTCCATACCACGGGCAGCTATAGCCCTCGTTTTTTTGTGACGCTGATCAGAACGATTGAGCTAGACATCTGTCTCCTCTGCTTCAGACAGACAACGGGCTGAAGCATGCTTTAACGCACAACAGAGATATAACATAAATAATTATGTTTGTTTCGTTTCATTTGTTCGCACCTTTTTACTATAATTCTGGACACTTTGTAAAATGTAGGGTGTTCATAACAACTGGCTTAGGTTTAAAACTCTGAGACCACATTGAAAATTACATTTAAACCTGGAATGGCGTGGAAATTAAATGCATAAAATAATATGAAATATTTAAGATATGAAAGGAAAAATACATTGGTTTAGCTCTGAAAGTCCAAGACCACATTGAAAATTTAATTTAAACCTGGAAATGAACCAGAAGGAAGAAGAAAAAAAAAGTAAAATGAATATTCAGATATATTTAAGATATGTATTTAAGAAATTACATAATGATGTGAAATAAATCAGAAATATTTATGTAATGAAAAAATTTTTTTTTAATTACTATAATTCTCAACATTTTATTTGTACAACTTAGCTGGCCCATGGCCAACTGGCTTAGGTCTATAAGACTGAGACAACACTAAAAATCAAATAAAAAAATTAAAAATAAAATTAAACAAACAAACAAAAAATAAGATATGTAAAGAAAAACTGTTTAAAATACATAATGAAACAAATGTTTAAAAAAAAACTATTTTAAATAGTGGTCTTGGAGCCCACTGTATATACTGATGTGTAACCTAGCTATACTTCTTTCGATAGCAGTTTTGGTTACACACATTACACACACACACACACACACACACTTAGTGTTGGGGCAGGGTGTACATTAGCCACTAGCTGCTCTACATGCATGCAGCAGTGACTGCAGGGACCCATGCAGGAGGAAGGGGTTGTCTGTTGCAGCACTGACTAATGCGTCCTAAGGCGCCACCTACAGTGCGTGGGGGTGAGCGTGGAGGACATGGTGCTGGGGCGGTAGCGGTATTTTCCGGGTAGGCTGCGGGCCCGGTTCAGACCAGCCAGGCTGAGGCGCGACTGTGAGGGCAGTGCCGGAGGGAGAAGACTTCCTTTACGGTTATTAACAAGAGGTACGGCAGTCGTGGAGCACTCTATAACCGGCAGCACACTGGGAAGAGTGTTGGGAACAGCCATGCTGTTGGCCAGTTTGATTGAGCGGTTCTGAAAAGTCGGTATAACTTCCTCCTTTACTGTCAAACAGTGGAAGACAAAAACAGGAGAGATGACTGTGAATTGGGTCAGTGACATATAAGAGTGCCTACGATAAAGAAAAGGAAAAATATAATCAAGTATTTAAAAAAAAAAACATATTTAAAACGCATGTGCCAAGTTTTTAGAAAATGTATTTTGTATTCATGTTGGTTTCATATAGTTTTGAAAAATGTTATACTATTTTTATGAAGCATTTAAATTAAATGAAAAAAAAAAGATTAAATGTATTAATGTTTTTAATTTATTATTAAATGTATTAACATTTTCTTTACACCTTGAATGTGAAATTAAATTAATATTTGTTTTTTGTTTGTGTGTATATATATATATATATATATATATATATATATATTAGGGCTGCCTCCTAATAGTCGACTAATCGTTAGTATTAGACTCTACGTTTATTTGTGTGCACTCACAACAAAACGTGCTTTTGTAAAATAATGAAAGCAAACAGGATGCGCTTTCTGCGGTCTCAGTCTGTAAACTTGAACGCAAAACTCTAAGTATATCTTTGCCTTACAGACATTAAAAATATATCTATAGAGACTGAAATGTCTACTTTAAAATGAACCAATTCAAATGTAAAACAAATATTCTCAGATTATGTAATAATTAGGGCTGTCAGTTTAATGCGTTAATTTCTTAGTTATGAAAAAATAATAATAATAACGCGATTAAAATATTTTAACGCAGTTAACGCACTGGTCCCGCCCCCAGACCTGTATGTCATCTTGCATTTCATTTAGTTGACTGTTGACAAATATGACGCAGGGTAATAACTCCATAAATGCAGTTATGCCATAAAATTCAAGATATTGGAGCAAAAAATGCCCCTGTATGAGTTTTTTCTCATATTTATATATATCACATATCAAACAATATCACACGAGCAGCGAGAGCAATATCACAGGAGCGCTGACTTTGTCCCGATCTATCACGAGTTTAAATGTGATTTTATACAACAGTTCAGTAAATAAGAAGCTGGTATTGTTATATTTTAAACACAATATTATGTGTTTTTGCTCAATTTTGCAAAGAACACATTATCTTTTAAGCCACAGCAGAATTGTTGCGTGTCTCCGAGCAACACAGTGGTGTTTAGTTTCTGAATGAATCCACGTTTTGAACGAATCATGTGAATCAATGATTCAAAGGCCCATTCATAAACAGAGCCATTTACTTCATTCCTGAATGAATCAGCTGTTTGAACGAATCGAATGAAGACATTTACCGCCACCTGCTGGCAGATTTAGTTTGTTATTTAGTGTATCATTTCATAAAAAACAATAACAAAAGTAATAAAAATGAAAACATTAAAGGGATGGTTCACCCCCCAAAAAAAAAATTCTGTCATCATTTACTTACCGTCATGTCGTTTCAAACATTTCTTTTGTGGAACATAAAAGGTATTCTGAAGACTGTTGGTAACAAAGCTCTTTTAGTTACCAATTACTTTCATTGCACGAACAAAAAATACTGCGATGTTTCTCAAATTATCTTCTTTTATGTTCCATAGTTTATGTTAGGCTGTTGTAGCCTAAATGTTTATGTGTAATACATTTTATGTTGAATCAAGTAAAAAATTTATTTCTAAAGCTACAATTTGTAATGTCTACTTGATACTTTCTCATTTAACACAAAAATAGCTTTAAATAATCTCTTGTGGGTATTTTCACAGTCAAATTTATTTTGCGATTAATTGGATTAATTAATCGAAACACCATGTAATTAGTAATTAATTAGATAAAAAATTTTAATCGACTGACAGCCCTAGTAATAATTGGTATGAAACATGCATACAGGCGCTTCCACTACTGTGGTGTGGAGATGACGAGAAAGCACTTGTTTATCAGTGGATTATTAAAATGTTAAAAAGCACTTGTTTATCAGTGGATTATTAAAACAGCCTCCTTACTGTTTTTCCCTGACACATTCATAATCATAGCCAGAGGCGGACAGTAGTGAAGTATTTTTACTCTGCTGTAAAAGTACTTTTCAGGTGTCTGTACTTTATCAGAGTAGCTTCTGCGGTACGCTGTGGCAAGCTTTATGCGTGTGCTTGAGCGCTTATTAGGCTTTGTAGGCAATTAAAGGATCTTTATAATGATTTAAATGGTTTATTAATAAACGTGCGATTAGACGACTAATGCTTAAAATGAACGACTACTAGTCGACCAAAACAATCCTTACTCGAGGGCAGCCCTAATATATTATATAATACAGAAAGCAAATATTATTATTTTATATTATTCATTAATTTATTTTTTTAAACTATCATGTATTATTAACACGTGAATATCATGAAGCTTTTGGCGAGTCACACCACATGACATTTTACAACCTGAATTAAACTTGTCATGAAAAAGGTAAAATTACCTAATATTTTAAGAGGCTGTAAATTAAAAAAAAATAACAATAAAATAAAAAGTATTTTATAATATTTAAAATTGCTTTATAAAAGTCACCTAAAAGCACATGCCATTAGTGCTTCTAAACTAAATATATTATGATTAAAACATTGAAGCATTCATAATTTATCACTGAACTGCATGAGAATCACATAAATATTTGAGTATGAAAATACAAGTTGACATGATTTTCAGTGTTGCGCCATTTATTTCCCCCTTCGATTACCATTTACCGACAGATCCACAAATCTGTGTGCCATAAAGGCAACAGTCGCATATTTGAATAACTGACTATGACCCCTCAGTTTTATTAAACACTACTTAACCACTTGGCAAGCGCTTTAGGTGAAATGTTCAAGATGACATTTGCTTTTCCATTGCTAATAAACATTAATTAATTAGAAGCACTTTCTTCCCCGCCTGCTCTGCGACAAGACAGAACAAAGCACGAACATACTATTCCTGATCACCGTCACAATGAATCAGTTCACAGTGCAGGCGGAGATGTGCTCACACAAGGGAACATAGCAATCTCTTTACGTTCTGCCTCAATATACAGCAAAGCCATGTTGAAACAACATCTAAAATGTGTGAAAATCAATACTTCACACAATACACGAAAATGTCTTAGATTAAGCTGCGAAAAGGAGCAAAATAACAACAATCTGCAGTCTGACAGACAGGAGTATGCGGTGTGTATATAAGAGACCTAAAGTGCTACACACAGGGAGTTATCAAGCTCACTGCCTGCCATCCCAGCCATAAGACTCCAACCTAATGCTATCTACATAAAAGGCAAGAGGTTAACCAATATCTGGTGTAAGTGGAAAAGCAGTTTCCGCCCGCTCCCCAAACCTTGCTCAGAGCAATAAATAGATGGTTATTTCTGCCGTCAGCTGCCGCATAGATTTAAAGACCGCCACAGATAACTCCTGGATTCATCTGGCCCCTGTCAAACACGAGTAGCATTATACAGAGAACATCCGCTGTGGCACTTTCACTGTGGATTTACAATAATCCAGAAGGCAACTGTCCCTTTATGAAATGCAAATCCTGTGACGAGCCGCAATTGTGCATTCTTATCAAGGCCATTGTTAAATTATAGAAAATACATCTGTGAGAAAATGCATTTTAAATCTTTATCTAATTTTATGGCTGCTCTACATAAGTCAATTCGGCATGCATACACTTTGTAACATTTTAATCACCTTAAATTCTTCTAATTGCTAATAATATTAGCATAATTTAATTTATATCAAAAATTATACTTTTTAAAATAAATTTGCAGATAAGATTATTTTTTTGTCCTTCAGATTCAGAAATATAACACAAAACATTTAAAAACAAATATTTAAAAATAAATGATAACGTCTGCCTATAATTTATGCAAATACATCAGGTTACATTCGAAATGAAACTTAATAGCAATAAAGCTAAAGCTCTCTCAGCATTCGTTGGCGACTCATTTTCCTAAAACACATTCAGCTGTGAACCAAACCCCAGACTGCCACTGCGATCCCATTTTCCCTGGAGTTGTAGCGCCATCTGCTGTTGGTGTCATCACAGTACAGAAACACGTGCAATACCTCACAGCATTTCTAGCTCTTCAATCATCCCTTGCAAGGACACAGAGCTCTTTATGCAACATCTGGATTTCATATGGATCCCTCTATTCAGCACCTGACTTTTCTCATGCACATGTTTTAAAGTCGCAGCCCCTCTGATGCATTTGACCAGAACCCAGTGCTGAGAAACTGTCATCACGGCCCCCCTTCCCATCAATCCCATCAATCCCCAGTAATCTACAGAGCTTTTGTGCTGTAATGCTAGTGGAGGTAAAATCAAAAGCAAAGAGCCAAAGCAGGCAGGTTGCACGAACGAATGAGGGAATGAGGAAAACAGAGAAGTACACTTACGTGATCTGACATATCCGTTAAACTTATATTTGGCTGAGGGGAACGCAGAGACCAATGAGAGAATACAGAGAGGAAGAGAGAGAGAATGAGAGAGAGACAGACAGCAGAAAGACAGTACATCACACTCGCACAAAGAACAGAGAGGAAGGAAAGTCAAGTTAACAGCAGTTAAAGAAAAGAGGCTGATGAAGATAATGATATAAGCAGGACGATTAAAGAAACAAAAACAAAAGATGATTGGTGGAGGGACTGGATTTAAATGAAGCTGCCTGTTCAGTGTTTCCACAGCACAGATCCATTTTAAAAGTCAAATGTTGGATTCCCGTCCAAAGACCTATGCCGAATATACAGCCCAAATCCGACCAACCTCACAACGATCATTATGGTATTTGGAGTTTGTTTGGAGAAAAGAGAATGCTTTGATAAGTCGTCATTTTATCCTTGACACTCAATTTGATGAAAACCAGTGAAACCGATCAAACAGATGTTAGCAATCTTGAAGCTTAAGCAAATAGTTAAACAACAAATTACAGATGTTTCCCATCACATAATTGCTTCTGTAAAAATTAAACGCTGCCGGCTGATCATTTTTGATCGGTAATTACTATCTTGTCAACTGCAGATGAATGCCAAACCGTAGGCATGGCATGCTGGGAGAATCAAGATTATTATATGCTACAAACTTGTGACAGAAAACAACATAAGTCATTAAAGTGAACATGAACTGATGTTTTGAATTGATGTTGTTTCTGTAATGTGGAGTATTTCTGAGTGAAACAATATTAATGATATTAATTTTAAGTATTGTAATATTTTAAAACAACTAATACTGCAATAGCCTGTGCAGCCTAAATGGCATAACCTGGAAAATTTGGAAAGTCATTTTTAGAGTAAAATCAGGCCAATTTGATTAAACATTATGAGGCCAAACTATTTCTGTCTTTGAAATAATGAGCACTGAATAATTTAATATAAGACCAGGAATGCGTATTGAGCAGGTAAATAGCGTCAATTTTGATTTCATGTTGACTTTAAGTCATATGCTGCATATATATCCGGGTTTGTTGCAGACAATCATAATGCAGGATGTGTTTGGATGCATGTCAGCTGCTCTGTACTGCTGACCCCATCGTTGCAAAGTCTCATCTTTCGTTCCGAGTACTGTATCTGATGCCATAAAGGTCACGGCGCAGGCCCAGGGCAGGGCAGTGACACAAGCGCTCAAGCAGGGGCCCCGTGCCGGTCCTGGCATATGCCGCGTGCGATCTGCGGGTGCAGGAAGAATCGGCCGACTCTCTGGCTAGCATCTGTCCTACACGGCAGAGGGGATGACCGGCCCTGCTCCTGCCTGGTGGTAAGGAACTGTCAGGTTGAGTTTCATGACACACCAGCTAAGCTGGGGAAATGAAAATGCAAACATAATTTTCATGTCAGGCTGCATAAGAGCCGACGGTGCTGAGTTCCACCCTGTAAGGAGCGGACAAGATCTACTCTCTGGGCTGCGCCGCCCCGCCCTGCCACGCTCGTCACATCTTCGGCAAACTCCATAACCAACCGGAGCGGGCAGGAGGAGAGGAAAAAGAGAAGAGGAAAAAATGCCCCGAAGACTCCAAAAAGCCGCAACCCCTCTCAGTGTGGCAGGCGACTGTTGTTTACAAAACAGGCATGCCAAGGATTGCCCTGCTGGAAACTTCCTAGTGAAGGCTCATAAGTTCAAAACAGGAATTAATACCCTTTGTGATGCTGAGCACCTTGAGAGTCTTTAAAGCTCGTGTAATGAGGGGATAAGTCTCGGCAGGTGGAGCGGAGGGACTGTTATTGTCATTGTAACTTAGAGCAGAGGCAGCTAACTCACTCGTTCAGGATATTTGCTCCCTAAAGCCTGCACTTGCAGAGATAACAAACTCTTCTTAATAGTGTGCAGTGCACCAGAGCTATAATGAGTGCTCCATTGCTCCCTACTCCTTGTCAACGGCTCTCTGGGCTTTGACTGCAGTCAAAAGAGAGCAAGAAAGACATAGTGTCAACTTCTCACGCATCTCATTTTCATACTAATAATTCTTTGTCTGGTTTGGCAGAAAGGAGCATTACCATCCTGAGTGATGCATGCACAGAATCAGAACAAAAAGTGCACGAGGGCTGTTTCAGAAAGCGCCCATCAGGGAACATTACTTCTGTAAGACAGAGTGCATTTACTGCCACACGTTTCAAGCATTCAGCAAAATTACTGCATCCAGGGGAGTAGTATTTATTTCAGCAATAACTGGGCTACTATAATGTGCAGGTATAAGACCACCATATCATGCTTAGCGCAGGGATGTGGTGATATTTATGTTTTTAGACCCATTTGGGGTGTGGGAACACATAATCTGAAATTTAGCAGAGAGTGCCACTAAATCGGCAGTTAAGTTGTGGAAGTTGCAAATTTAATTTATGCGAAAATTCAGACAATAGCGCGAAAATAAGATAAATAAGGCAGCCCTTCTGCCCCACGTGTTCAAAAGAACAAAATTTAAATTTTTGGGAAAACTGCCATAAAATAGAATTACAAATGGTACTTGTAGTCACTGTGGCTTTTTTAAATAAAGGTAATAAATTACTTGGGGTGTGAGACATGGCCACAAAACAAATATAAATTAAAATAAACTATATAGAAAAAAATATGCATAATAAATATATACACACCACAGTTAAATTATCACTGAGATACTATTATATTTTTATCAATATTTTGAATTCTCCATTTAGTAATTTTGTTTTGTTTTTGTAATTTTTTAGTAGTTTTTTGTTTTTTTTAGTTTTTAGTTATTTTAGTAGTTCCAGTCAAACTAAATTAAAATGAGAAATGTTGCTTTGCCAAAAAGCTGAAATAAAAAAAGTTTTTTGCATTTTATTTCAGTTAACATTTTTTATGGTTTTTAA